GGAGGAAAATGAATGGAGGGATGACAGATGAGACAAAGATGCACAAAGTAGAGAAATTAAAAATTTCCCCATCACTCCTAACACTGTGTCAAAATCACCTGCCAATTGTCTTCAGTCCATCTGGCGGGGGAATTCACCAGATGGACTGATTAATCCAATCAATCTACTCTGTTTCCAGTTTCCAGCTCGCCAACACCCAGCTCACCTCCTGTGATTCCCAAATGCATCCCACTGGCTTTTTGTGCTTTTACATACTACATTTGTGTGGGTGGGTGTGTGGGACTGTCATATAGAAATGAACATCTGTTAGATTCAAGCTCATTCGTAATCAGTTAATCAGTGGTGATTAAATCTGTATTTCCTGTTTTTGGAGGGCACAGTTTCAGTTTTGAATCCTGGTGTCTGTGGCGACAGTCACTGCTGTACTGGTAGTAATGCCTTTTACGTCAGCCGGCAGTAATTTGTTTACCAGAGCTGACAAGGCGCACAGCAACAGAAACATTACAGCATCTAGAAGTAGGATGCAGCCTAGGAACCATGCCAGAGAAGGTTTTGACGCTTCAGCTATAAAAGGCTCAGCACTTAGAAGAAGCAATGCAGTCTACAAAATAAATAAAAAATCAGTCAACAGTTGAGCGTGTCATGAGCCTGCGTCAGCATTGTTTGTGTAATTGGTCTCACTGCTCTGACATGTGACAACATGAGCTTGGTGAAAGTTTAACAAAGTTCACTATGAAAGTGTGAACCACAACAATCCATTATATCTTTAGCTGGATCTGCTACATCTGTTCACCACACAATCATCACCTGTATCATAGTGAATGTGCAACTTATTTCATCCTTATGTTGAATTTAACCATGAAATGTAATGATACAAACAGCCACACCGCACTTCAGTTGGACCATGCTGCTATCAAAGTCATTTGTACAAAAGCTGGAGGAAAGTTGTGTACCATCTCCATCAGCGTTATAAGTTAGCTGAATCTGTAAACAGGTCACATATTGATAATCTGCAAGATGTCTTATTTTGCAAGGAAAGGGATGTTTTAAAAATTTAATGTTTTTATTTATAAATGTTTTTTGAATGCCAAATGGAAATTAATAAGCGAGCCACTAGACTGCATACCTGTTTTTAACTGCAGCCACTTTCAGTAAAGGTACTGGGAATAAATGCAGGAATGATCAGCAGATGTAAGTTCAGTTATTTTTGAAGAACTGCATTATTCACCCAATTTCTCCCATTTAAATCGCCAAAAAAAACCCTAAAAACTTTATTAGACGTTCTGTGTGTAATGTCCAGAAAACCATTATGATATACTCACAGGCATTAGGTAAACTTTAATTTAATTTATTTAGGACAGTGCATGTTAATGAACATAAATGTAAAATAAATTACATGAATGTAAACATGCCAGATTATAGCCAAGGGCTAATTTCCATCTGTTGTCCATAAAACATTAAAAGTACTCACACATACACACCGTTCTATTCCCAAATAAAACATTAAAACTATACAACTTATACATGATCACACACTTGATTTGTCCATAACCAGTTTTTAACCTGTGCCTTAAACAAGTTGAATGTCGAGCATTCTCTAAAGGATTGAGGACTTCTATGTTATATCCTTGCGCTTCTTTGCAGGAAAGCACTTGATTAACGATCACAAGATTGAACGTCTCTGTCAATTTACCCCAAGGAGACTGCGCAAAAATAATAAAAACATTCTACTGTAAGACTCCACAGGTCTCAGGCCACATGCTAACGTTCATAACATTAAAATTCATGACAGAATAATTCGAAGAAGCATGGCTGGCTTTGAAGGGCTGCCAGGAGAAATCATCTTGTCTCTAAAAGAACATGGCAGCACGGAGTATGTTTGTGCAAACTGCAAAATTTCAGAAACAATGTTCTTTGACCAGATGAGACCAAATTGGAGATGTTTGGCTACAATGCACCGCCACCCATTTGGTAGAGCCCAAACATATATCAGCATGTCAGGACCTCACACCTCCTACCAGCTGTCAAGCAAAGTGTTGGAAGGCTGATGATTTGGGCTTGTTTTGCACCCATGGGATCTGGGCACTTTGTACTCAGCGAGTAGCTGGTGAGTCGCTCCAGTCTGCAGGTAACTGTGGCGATCTGCAAGCAATCCATGGCAACCTCGAGAAGATTTTTAGTGCATCACCCTTTTTCTGACAGATTTTGACTACCAGCAAACTCACCCTGGAGTCAGGAATAGAGATCTTCCTGGAGGGACCACTGGTTCAGTGTTGTTGTTCAGTTGTGAACAAGCACATGCAACATCTTTTGAATTTGTACTTACAACTAAAGTACCAAAGTCTTTCAGTGATAGCAGACAACATTTTGTTAAAGACTTAAGAGTCAGGAAGATTTCATTTTTATGACACATTACACCATTACACTGGGATTAAAAACCATTTGATGCTAATGGCTGTTTGTTTAATTTGATTTTGATGCACTTAATGGTTGTGTGGCATATCTGAAATAGTGTTGCTCAAACAAACACGCTGATTCCTGTTTTTGAATTTGCTCAGGTTGGAGAGCAGTGTGGTGCACAAATACACTCATCCAAGTGCCTTTATTGTGGCAGCTGAATGCACTTGCAGTGAAATGCACATTACTGCTCAGAAAATAATTACGATTCAAGAGCCTGTTGCAGAGATCGGTGTTATCAAGTGCTATGCTGGAAACCTGTCTTTTTATGAAACCAACTGCAAAGCCCTGTATGGAGAAGCCTTTCATATTCAAATGGAAGTAAAAGCAGGTAGGTACCAAAGTGAACCTAATATCAAATAATTCAGTTGAAATTTTGATATCTCTACATAACAGCATCGGCTTTAGTTTGAGCATATATTTGTTTTTTTCCCGAAATCATCTTTGACTTTTACTGTCACTTAAGTTTTATTTGTTTTCTATTCTTTAGGTACGAATGTGACCTACAGAATCGAAGCTGATGAAAAGCCGTTGTCCGGTTTATCTGTGGTCAGAGGAACTGAACCCCAGAACGTCACAGTGACATCAGAAATAGTGACGCAGCTCGGGTCTGGCTGCCACCATCTGACACTTTATGCGTCTAACACCGTCACATTCCTTGAAGTGTCCAAAGACCTGCAGGTACAGAAAATCAAACTAATAGTCTTCTTTTAGTACAACAGTAACAAAAATAATGATGTATCATCCCCAGGTTTCTGTTGAGCATGGTGATCATATGAATAAAGAATTTGAGTACTGATTGAAAAATTAGACTGTTTAAAATTCTTAATTAAATTTAACCTTTAATTATAAAACTTCTTTCAGATAATTAGGGAAATATCTGGGAAGACAAGAACATCTCTCTCAATTAAATTCACAATTATTTCCTTTTATCTTTTTTTTTCATACCAACTATGAATTTAAAAGTCTGCACTTTCATCCTGTCCCCATTAAGGTAATCAGTCATTTTAAGTCAAGGAACATAGTGTAAAAATGTGCCTTTGATCTAAGTTTAATCAAAATTAAACCACAAGGTCTGATGTCACTCAGCTGCCAGCTAACCTCCATAAACAGCAAGCTCAGCTCACCTGCTCTTCTTTGCATGGCACAAAAACTCTGGAAATATATTGGAAGTTTTTGTTACGGCCGAGAGGGCCAGGCGGTGAGTGTGGACTCAAATGCAGACACAGAGGGAGGCAAAACTGGAGTGAATACAGTGCTTTATTTACAGTGCGTAGTTTAATTACAGAGCAGGAAATAATGTAGGCTATGGACTGTGAAGGCTAAGAGGCCAGACTATGGAACATGGAGCTCAGACTGTGCGCTATGACTAAATGGTAAATGGCCTGTATTTGTACAGCGCTTTACTAGTCCCTAAGGACCCCAAAGCGCTTTACACGTCCAGTCATCCACACATTCACACACTAGACTAGATGCTAGATTTCGTGACCAGATCCTGGGGAGGGAAAAGGGGCAGCGGCCTGGGTGGAGGTACGCAGAGTCACTATAACAAGAAGAGACAGGCAGTCAGTGGCAGTCTAGTGAATGTCAGTCGGTGGATTCAACTATGATGGTTATGGCTTACACGTAGCAGGTGAAAGTGGCATGCAAGAGGTCCAAGGAGGGTCTGGAATACACTTATAGCAACAGGCCTGGCAGGGAGGCAGGCAGGCGAAGTGCCACGATTGAGGGGGTTACAACCAGATATCAGGAAACCAGCATCCAGACAGAGATAGGTGCAGTTCAGTTTGAGAAGCACAACGCCCAGGCAGGTAGTGAGTTAGCTGTAGATCTGGCAGGGGTCTGTTGTGAGCGCTGGTCTTATATGCTGGTGACTTGATTGGAATCAGGTGTGAAGGCTGATTGGAGTCTCCGCCTGAACGTGGAGCCCAGCAGAGTGGAAAAACCCCGCACTCACCCAGACCATGACAGTTTTATTCTTCTCATAGACAGTCACAATTTAGTATGTCAAGATTTTTCTTTATCAGACAATTTCTTACTGAATTAAAATGCTTTGTAGAGTATTTTTAATGTATCTTTAATGTATTTTCATAGTAAACACTAATTGCCAGATTAATGTGTTATCAGATTAACGTGTTATCTGCTTCTGTTATCTGATTAATGTGTTCCTCTGCTTTGTAATTCTGCTTATCCCACAGGTGTGTGTTCTGGAGAAAATAGTTGGACTTCAGGCCTCTGTGTTGACAGCGGGCGATGAATGTTTAGATTCCCCATTTATTACTTTTGATATTTCCCTTGTACGAGGAGAGCCTGTGATGCTCTTGTTTTCTCTTTCTGGAAACAATGGCTTGTTCACTGAAACCAGACAAATGAATACCAGAAAGGAAATGTTTGAAACTGAAAACCCAATTCAAGGTGAGCTTTAAAATGTAAATGGTAAATGGACTGCTTCTTAAGTAGTGCATTTTACCCCTCAGCCATAAAAGGCTAATTGAAGGTATTGTTGTCGTTCTGCCAGGTGGGCGGGCATGATGAATACCAAAGATTGTGAATGTGATAACTCAAGAACAAAGCAACATAGGACGTTCAAATTGATATCATAGGTGTATCTACTAAAAGTCTCAGACGCTCGGTGACCTCAACCTCAGGGTCAAAGATCAAGTTCTCCAAAAATCTTGTGAATGATAATCTACGAATAAGGCGATATAGTATTTTGAAATTGATAACACAGGTATTCCATAGTGTTAATGCATCTCATTTTCTACTCTGCCTAAGCACTCTAAGTGCTTTGCACAACTTACTTACAACTTACAATTTATGTTCATACACATTCACTCACATTGATGGATGCATTGGGTTGGTATGATGCAGACTGGAGCTGCCAGGGATCAAACCACCAACCTTCTAATTAGGACTGTAGATGACCTGCTCTACCTCCTGAGCTACAGCCACCCGAATTTGATGTCAGTCAAAATGTCTGAAACATGAATATTTACAGATTCTACTGCTGATTCATTGATTTTTTCCGTGTGTTTTTCTACAGGTTCTATAGAAGCAAAACTCAGAGTTTGGAACATCTTCTCCTCTCTTGAAGTGGTGCTGAATATATCTGCTTCTTGTGATAAAGATTTAGGCTTTAAACCCAGCGATCAAAATGACATTTTGTTTGGAATGAACAACAGACGGGTAATTACAGAAGTCCATCCAATTTATAGTTGTGTAGTTGTACTTCTAATGTAACTGTACAAAATAATATTTTAAGTAAATATTAACCCTCATCCTCACCTTTGTTCTACCTTACCTGACATTTATAAATGCTTGTGTTTTCAGAGAAAGAAGCATGTTAGAGTTGGCAGAGCTCTACTGACACTCACAGCTAACCGTTCAGCTACAATAACTCAAAGAGATGGAGGGGAAGGAGACTGCGGAAACGACGACTGTGGAAAAGGCAACTGCAAAAAAGGGGGAGGAGACTGTTGCAAAGGCGACTGTGGAAAAGGCGACTGCGAAAAAGGGGGAGGAAACTGTTGCAAAGGCGACTGCGGAAAAGGGGGAGAAGACTGTTGCAAAGGCGACTG